AATACTTACTATATTAAACAACATACAAATGCAACCTTTGCACTCCCTAAAACTACTTTATTATATTATTATATTATATTATTTTTTTTGTTAATTGAAATAAATTAAAATAAATTAAAAATGAAATAAAAAAATAATCAAAAACGAATAAACTAAAAACATTACTAAAAAAATTTACTAGAATTAAAATGAAAACAAAGCTAATTCAATGTATTCATAAAAACTATTATAGTACATAAATATTACTAAAAAACACTACCAAATTTAACATAGTTATTTTTATTATTTTATTATAACTATTTAATTCATTATTTTTTTTATAATTAATTAATTAATTAGTTAATATTTTTAGAATTACACAAAAATTACTATTGGAAAATAAAGAAAAAAATAATAAAAATGACAAAAGTACATGCATAATTAGCTAAACAATTAATTAATTATAATTGTAAAAAATAAAAATAAAAAATAACTATAGTAGCTTTGTCATTGTTATTTTAGTATTATTTATATTTATATAAATAAATAATTGGTTATAAAAATCATGAATAAAAATATTAAATAAATAACACTGCCACAGACGCATCTGTGTGTAAATCTGTGATTATTTTCTGATGTAACTAGTTGTTGTGGTTGGATCAAACTAAAGGCCGTGGCCGTGGACTCTCGTGACCCAGTTCTGGACTTAATGCTATCGGGCGTTATATAAAGAGATGAGGTATTGCAAAGCAACATTACGGCAATGTGTGTGTAGGCTTTTTTCCGAGACGTCACAGTAACAAGCTTTCACACTGAGAGCTTTCTCGTTTCACTCCTGATCTTCAGATGTCCGGCTGGAGAGTTTAGTGTCTTTATTTCCCATCATTAAATGAATGCACACTAGACTGTTTGTTTATATTTTCAATCATGACAAACAATCATTGTAATATAGTGTCAGGCATCTCTGACATCAGCGGTAGCGGCTGTAACGGACTGATCCCGCTATTGGCCGGCAGGATGCCACAGGAAATGGGAATTAGGATAAGACAATAATTACAGACTAAGACGATTTCATTATGTTTATAAACATCACTGTGCACTACGTGGAATTCAAAGGATCTAAATAAAAACCAATACAGCTGTCATTAAATGATGCAGTTTTGCAGAAACATTAGAATGTAATATTATTACATAACAATCAGGCTTTTTTTTTTTTTTTTTACTTTGGTGCTGTATATAATACAGTAGAATTCTCAGACATCCAAAGTTATTAGTAATTATACTTACACTGTAAAAAAAATTCTGTAACATTTACGGTAAAACCGGCAGCTGTGGTTGCGGGAATTTTACTGTAAAAAACACGGTAGCAACATTTTAGGTTTTTCAGTTTTAACTTAAATTTACTGTTAAATACCGTAATTTCATTAATTGAAATAATGTTAATATACCAACCTATTGAAGTACTGAAATCTGCTTTGTACCTTTGTAATACACTGATAACCACAAAATGCAGGTGGTGATGATTCTCAAAGATACTAAAATAACCCTAATTATATTTACGTAAATAATATATATATATATATAAATATTAGCACGGCAAATGGAGTATTCAGCATTAATCTTTTTTATAGTTTTTTTTTTATTAACTTTTTACTTATGTTATTATGGCACTGTGTTATAGTGATTCTTTTTTTGATCACATTCTGATGTAATTAGATGTTTAAATTTAACCTCATTTCACTTTGATTAGAGTAAAGGTAAACGTTGGCACACCTTACCCCTCTGCTCTCTATGTGAAGTGTGCCTGCGCATATAAAGTTGAAAAACGGAATTATTTTATTTTCTCTTTAATCAGATCAAGTTCTCGCTGCTCTGCTGCTCTGCTGCCTGTGGACAGGAGCCGTTTGTTTGAACTCCAGCTCTATCTTATGGTGAGTAGGTGAGTACAGTGCTCTGAACTTAAAATTTCAGCAGTTGAATATTATATTTATCACTCTAACAAATATATAATTTATATTTATTAATTTAGAATATTTTGTAAATTTGTGAACCACATTGGCATTAATATTCACAGCTGTTCTTCTGGTACAAATATAAAATTGAAAAACGGAATTATTTTATTTTCTCTTTAATCAGATCAAGTTCTCGCTGCTCTGCTGCCTGTGGACAGGAGCCTCATGGAGGTTTGTTTGAACTCCAGCTCTATCTTATGGTGAGTACAGTGAAGTACAGCTCTGAACTTAAAATTTCAGCAGTTGAATATTATATTTATCACTCTAACAAATATATAATTTATATTTATTAATTTAGAATATTTTGTAAATTTGTGAACCACATTGGCATTAATATTCACAGCTGTTCTTCTGGTACAAATGTATATGTTGTGCAATCAAATGCAACTATCTAATATTGAAATCAATCATTATGATATTTTAGAACACTGCATGTATTTTGTGAACTATGAGAGGTTGAAATACAAAAAGAAAGCACTCAGTGCTGAATTCCACATGGCTGGCCGTCCGGAATGATTGAGTGGGTTTTAATGGACGCTCTGATGTTTCAGGTCAGTGTTTGTCCCGACAGAAAAACCCCAGGCTCCGTCTCGAACAGACAGCATCTCTCTAAATTCACTCTCATCCTTTATGAAGTCGTCTCTGTGATTGACAAAACCATTTGAGGACCGTTTTAAAAAGAGTTTATGATGTTTATGGCTGTATACATTCATAATGAATGGCCCAAATGGCCTTGCAAAGCCTAATCCCAAACCGCTGCATTATTCAGCAATAATAATAATACAAATATTATTATTGTTGTTGTTATTATTATTAATAATAATAATATTAATAATTTTGCTGTTGTAGTTGGTTCTTTTGATGTTGTTGATGTTATTAATCTAAAAATGATAGCATCCGTGTAAATTATAAATTATTATAATATAACTGTGGTTAATAATCATATTTTTATTTTTTAATTATTATTATTTTACTTATTATTATTAATAACAAAACATTGTTTTATTTTTTTATAATTGTGATTGTAATTATAATATAACTGATATTAATTAAAAAAATAATAATAATTTGTTATATTAATAACAACAATAATATTTTTTTAAATAAATAAAATTATTATTTTAAATTATAATAACCATGATATTAATAAGTATTATTGTTATTTATATTTACAGTTACATTTTAAAATATAATTATTAACAAGCAACAGCAACATTTATTTTTAATTAGTATTTTTATTATAATACAATACTTATAATTATATTAATAATGAAAACAACAACAAAATAATAATAATTTATTTTTTTAATTGTTGTAATATTATTGTAATTGTAATAGTATAACTTATATTTATTCATTTTTAAAAAATAATTTTAATTAGAATATTCTATTATATTTTTATTATAATTATTATGAATTATTATATCAACAACAACAACTAGCATAATAATAATAATAATTATTATTATTATTATTACTACTACTATGATGTTACATTAAAAATGTGTTTTGCAGGTTACGAGTAGTTGCATTTTCCTAATTTTAATTTATGAATAATAATATGGTTTTAAATTTACCAATAAAATAAAAAATAATTGATCAACTGTTATGTAAAGAAACATTATTTGACTAATTTCCTGGTCTATATAGACTGCAAATGTAATTTTACATGCACTGAGCTTGCACCAGCACAAAGCCTGCGAGCACAAGCCTGATACACAAGCCTCCTCAGTACTAAACAGATGACATTATCACACAGAGCCTCAACCAATCAGAGCGCAGCAGGAAATGCAGCTCCACCGATCACAGGAGACCGAGGGAGGAGTCTGTTTCCAGTCTCTCAGCTGTGATAGAGAGAACGAGAGAGGAACATACAGAGGAGAGATTGTGCTGGGATGGAGAGACAGGGATGCTGTTGCTAGGGAACAGTAAGGAGATGTCCATCTTTTACAGCTTGCTCCACATACAGCAAGGTTCGGAAAGGTTTACCTTTTATAAAGGAGGGAAATAAATGCACCATATAAGAGAGAGAAGGATAGAAGGAAGGGGAGGAGACGCCAGGTGACATGACGTAATCTGGAGTGAAGAAGAATTAAAAAACACATCTGATAGCTGCTCAAAAGGAATCTGTATGTTGTCGTTTCGGGATGATAATGGCCATGCACAGATCCTGAGAGACTGAAAATCATCCACCCGCCCCAGACGCCTCCCTTTGTCTGAGGAGAACCACAGACGGGACCGGCTTCACCCGACAGACAGACAGACAGACAGACAGACAGACAGAGTCAGCTCTGAAGCTCCTCGTCCGGCATGAGCGCTATGGATTTAATCAAGAGCTGAGAAATCAACAGGCCTGAAGGTGAAGCACAGAGAGAAACCAGCGCCTGCTGAGAGAAACTCCCTTCTGCTGTGAGTGTTTGACCAGATGATGAGCCGTGTTTGCAACCCCTTTTAATTCCACAGCGTGACATATTTCTGAGTAAACAGGATGTTCAGTGAGATAAATGTTGATTTTTCCGTGTGGAATTGATTGGACGCTGAAAGGTGTTTGGATGTGACAGGTTGATGAGGGGAGGGTTAAATACTGTAGGCAATGTCAACAAAAAAATGATGTAATATTTTGAGTTTTCATTTTTGTATTTTCAGTTTTTTTGTACTGTGTTTTTGTTATTTAATTATTAAATGTTTAAAAAGAAATATGTGTCTATATAGTTTTTATTAATTTTTAAGTTTATTTTAGTTTTAGGAAAATGTTACTTTGGCAAGTATAGCTGAAATAAAATGTTTAAGTTTTTATTTTTGTATTTTCCTTTTTTAAATTTTGATTAATCATTTAGTTGTAGTTCAAGTTTTAGTAATTGTGTTGTGTTTTTGTCATTTGTATTATTTATTGTATTTTTTAAATATGCCTATTATTTATTAGGTTTTTGTTTTAGTTATTTTAGTACATCAGTTTAAACTAAATGAAAATGGGAAATGTTGCTTTGGCAACTAGCTTAAATAAAATAAGTTTGGTTTTTTAATATTTTATTTGATTTATTTTTTATATTTAGAATTCGTTTTTATTTTTGTATTTTCCATTTTCATTTTCATTTTGTTGTGTTTTTGTCATTTTTATTATTTATTTCTTAAATACATTTTATTTTTGTTATTTTTAAACGGGAAAAAAATGGGAAATGTTGCTTTGGCAACTAGCTGAAATAAAATGTTTAATTTTTTTGTATATTTTATTTGATTTATTTTTTTATATTTTGAGTTCGTTTTTATTTTTGTATTTTCCATTTTCATTTTAGTTCAATTTTTATTCATTTTGTTGTGCGTTATCATCACTTTATTATTTATTGTGTTTTCAAATATGTCCATATAGTTTTTTATTCATTTCGATTTTAGTTTTAGTTATTTAGTACATCAAAGTAAACAAAAAAAAAATGTTTAAGCTGAAATAAAATAAGTTTAAGTTTTTTTTGTCATGTTGACAAACCTCTGATGGGGAGTGATTTGAGAGTGTTTCAGCCATAAACACAATATCACTGTTAAGTCAAATCAAAATCCTTCAGTTGAAATATTAAGTACAGGCGTGAAACTCATTCCATTTCCTCAAATCATGTTTCTTGCTGAAGAGAGAAACTTAATGCCATTAGCTCATTTAAGAGAAGTAATTGAGAGAATAATATGTAGTTTTAGCCTGTATAGCCACCTCTGAATGTGCTGATCTTCTCAGTGTGATCGGGAGCAGAGGATGGGAACCACTGAAGCCACTTTACGCATGGAGAACATGGAGGTGAAAGATGAGTGGCAAGATGATGATTTCCCCCGGTAAGACCTTCAGCCGCTGTCTGACTGACTGAGACATAAACACTCACTCTGTGTTCAGAATAACATACTACCATGCTATTTTTGCATACCTGTGCATGGTATATGAACCTTCTGTTTGCACAGAATATGACCTACAACATTTCCCAAATGTGCAGTATGCAGTGCATGAGATTCTGTATCCCACAATGCATTGTGCTCAACTTCAAATGCAACATAGAGAGGTTGAAATTGTAGCATTTTAGCATAGTTTTTGACATAAATAAGAGCTAAAGTGAATGTGGATAGAAGCTCAGATCATTTGGTCTTTGAGGAATTGATGATAAATGTTTGAGTTCACATTGAGATCTGACTTTTGACTGTTTGCTACTGTAATACTGAAACATTTCTGATTATTATCAATGTTGAAAACAGTTGAGCCGCTTCATATTTTTGTGGGAACTGATCATTCAAAAGTTTGGGGTCAGTAAGAGTTTTATTTTAAAGAAATGAATTTAATCAAGGATGCATTAAATTGATCAAAAGTGACAGTAAAGACATTTATAATGTTGCAAAAGATATCTATTTCAAATAAATGCTGTTCTTCTGAACTTTGCATTCATTAAAGAATCCTGAAAAATAAAATGTATCGCAGTTTCCACAAAAAATATGAACTGTTTTCAACATTGATAATAATCAGAAATGTTTCTTGAGCAGCAAATCAGCATATTAGAATGATTTCTGAAGATCATGTGACACTGAAGACTGGAGTAATGATGCTGAAAATTCAGCTTTGATCACGGGAATAAATTATATTTTATTATATAGTCACATAGAAAACAGCTATTTTAAATTGTAAAAATATTTCACATTTTTACAGATTTTACTGTGTTTTTTGATCAAATAAACACGGCCTTGGTGAGCAGAAGAGACTTAATTCAACAACATTTTAATTACTCCTAAATTTGTGTACACAATCAGTACTGCTATTGATCTACATACTGATACTATTTAGTTATAATGATTTTTCCTTGCTAATAAGCAGATTTGCACCTCTGCTATATGACACCAGGCATGTAAACATCCATGAGGCTTGTTAGTGGCGAGTTATTTTCCTCCACAGCGCAGGCGTCTTTGATTTCTGATCGATCATGTCAGATCAATATTAGAGCTCAGAGCGTGTGGAGCTGAGGATGTGTTATCTAGCTGCACATGAGGGAGAAATGAAGGTGAATCGTGGCATAAACAGTCCAGAAGCAGCATGTGGGTCAACATACAGTACATGAAGACATAAAGAGCACAGCCTTACATCATAATGCATTACCACTTCTGGGCAAATATGAGGTCATCAGTGTTGCCATGACAATGAGGCTAGAGACACAGAGTGCTGAATAATTGATTGTGCACATTATCACATAAACCCACACTGAACAAAATCTTGCTGAAGTAGGTTTTTAATTGTCATGTACTCTATGAAACTTTCTCTCTGATGAACCTGATTATGTTTTAGCTTTTGAAAATTTTGCATTTAAAGTTTTACTCACAATTTCTGATGAAATAATCCTAAATCACCATGGCACAGCGATTATATCCTATGGTAATATCATAATACTTTGATATATACTATGGTACACTGTAAAAAAAAAAAAAAAATGTTGTCAAGTAGCCTATAAATTCCTCATGTGGTAACTATTTATTTAAATAATTTGTAATTAATATTATTTTAATAAATGCTTCACGTGATAACTGGTTTTATGGAATTTAATATATATTAAATAATATTAATCAATAATAATATTTAAATAAATGCTTCAGCACAGCGATTATATCCTATGGTAATATCATAATACTTTGATATATACTATGGTACACTGTAAAAAAAAAAAAAAAATGTTGTCAAGTAGCCTATAAATTCCTCATGTGGTAACTATTTATTTAAATAATTTGTAATTAATATTATTTTAATAAATGCTTCACGTGATAACTGGTTTTATGGAATTTAATATATATTAAATAATATTAATCAATAATAATATTTAAATAAATGCTTCACGTGATAACTGTTTTTATGGAATTTAATATATTAAATAATATTAATCAATAATAATATTTAAATAAATGCTTCATGTAGTAACTGGTTTTATTAATAGGTTTGTTTGTTTGTATGTTTCTTTCTTTCTTTCTTTATTTTAATATTTTTATTAGTATTATTTAAATAAATGCTTCACGCCATAACTGTTTTTATGGAATGTAATATATATTAAATAATATTAATCAATAATAATATTTAAATAAATGCTTCATGTAGTAACTGGTTTTATTCATATTAATAAGTAATATTAAAATAATGCTTCACATGGTAACTTTTTCTACTCAATTATTTGTGTGTGTGTGTGTGTGTGTATATATACAGTGGGTACGGAAAGTATTCAGACCCCCTTAAATTTTTCACTCTTTGGTCTTTATGCAATTTAATATTTCATAATTTAATTCATTTTAATAAGTCTGATTTCATTATAAAAAGGAACTTACTTTAAAAAGAAAGTTACTTTTTAAGGCTTAGATCAGTTAAAATAGATCCTTAACAACTGAATGATTTTATTTTAGCTTTCAGTGTATTGTTAGATTACCATTACCACAGATTAATATTCCATATACTACATATTACAATGGTGCATATGCAAAGAATGGTACCTTTTATATTAGTGCCAAACATTAAAACTTACTTCATGATAATGGTTTAGACAGATAATGGATGCAGCAGACACTATCTTTATAAGCATCCTGTCGCAAAAATTGTCTGAACTGAGTTCTGTAAGCCTCATTATTGCACTGCACTCTCTAATTAACCAGCAGCAGTCCCCTGACACCGCACAGCCTGCTGGGTAATTACACACCGACTGTAGTCAGCACGAGATACACAAACACTGCTGATGGTAATGCCATAGAATGATGGGTTAATTGTGTGCTTCACTCCTGCTGAAACATACTGTTTGTTCAGGCTCGACACAGAAGTGCAAACGCCATCATTTACAGAATGTGTGCACATTAGCACTGACCTCTGTGTGAGCCAAACCCGACTTAATCATCATCGTGTTGAATTATTGTTTAATCTTGAGGCTCTAGCTTGTTAACTGTCTCTGTTCTGTAGTAAAAGTGCTATATTTATCACAGAGACTTGAGGATGCATGACTCTTTTCACTTGACTAGTAAGCTTAAAAAGCACCCCAAACACCCTAGCAACCACCATTAATAACCTAGCAACACTAGCAATAAAACAATACATTAAATAACTCAACAACCAGTTAAAGCAGCACTATGTAACTTTTGGCGCTCTAGCGGTTAATAAACAGAACTGCACACATCCCGCGGAAGAACATTCCAACCGGAGCTACTTCTCTAAGTTTATGTCTATGGCGATTCACGCAGGTATGTGTTACTCCGCAGCGGCGACGACCCGACCAGGCTACAATAGTCCAAATATAAGTACTTATTATAAGTGTACCGTAGTGATTCGGAATAAGACAAAAACGTGGTTTGGAAGATTAATTCATGATGTACTCGCTCATTATATACATTTAAAAAATTTTGAACACAGAAAAAGTTACATAGCGCTGCTTAAAGGCCAATTATTATTGTGGGTCACTGTGTCATTATTGTGAATTTAAGTGGCTCTATAATGACAGAGGGAATGTGTAGTTGTGTGTGTGTTGTGGTCATCTGTAGAATTTCTCTGGCTTGATTTCCAGGCCTCTTCCTGAAGACGGTGATTTAGATGGACTCACTGACAACACTGGTAAGTTCATCTCAGTGCATCTCCTCCATGTGTTTTTCACTGTGGAAAAGACTTTTATTATGAAATATTTATTGACACACTGCTAATAAAATAGCAGAATTGAGAAAGATAATCCACAGATTTCATTAGAAGAAGAGGAAACGTCCCAGGTTACGTATGTAACCATGGTTCCCCGAGGGAACGAGACGCTGCGTCGGAAAACGCTAGGGCAACGCCTTCAGCGATACCAAGCTCTGAATCATATGTGTAATCAATCGAATCGATGGGCGAGACGTCAGAGGCGGGTGACGTCATGACAGCCCCCGACTTAGAGCGCCGCCGTCCTTGGTCCCGCTGCGGGGGAGCGCGAGAGGAAACGCTCTGTTTTTGGACCTTCCTATATGAGGAGCTGGTACCCGGCTGGGGCTGCTCCCGCCCAGCAGAGTTCCCGAAGGGGAACTGGTTCAGGTTGAAAGTTGAATCACCATTAATTAAAATAAAAAATATTTTTATTTTTAATAATTTTATATTCAATTATAGAAAATAATTATATATTTTTAAAAGTAATTAATAGTTAACATATAAATGTTAACTGAAATAAAATAAAAAATATAAAAAAGCTAAACATTTTATTTCAATTAGTTGCCTGGGCAACATTGTTTTTCAACATAATTTCATTACATATCATAATCATAAAATTTCAAAATAAATTTCATGATCATAACACAATTTTTAATTAGTTTAAGTCGAAGTAGTAAAATTACTAAAACTAAAATTAAATAGACATTTAAACAAGGAAAACAAACTAAAAAACGGACAAAAACACAAAATTACTAAAACAAACAAAATAAAAAATAATAATTTTATATTTAATTATTAAAATAATTATTATATATATATTTTAAAATAATTATTAGTTAATAAATAAATGTTAACTGAATTGAAATATAAAAAACATTAACTTTCATTTTATTTCAATTAGTTGCCAGAGCATAATTTTTTTCCAATATAATTTCATTACATATCATAAACATAACATTTCAGAATAAATGTCATATTTAGAACATAATTATCATTTAGTTTAAGTTGAAGTACTAAAATTACTGAAATATCACTCTGAATAAAAATGTAAAAAGAAAAATAAATGAAATAAAAAGAAAACAAAAAAAACAGAATCACTAAAACAAACTGAAATTAAAATTAAAATGGAAAGCATAAAAATAAAAACTATTTCAAAATATGAATGAATCCTCTATTAGTATATTAATGATACTAAAAATTCACTGCTGTCTTCTGGTTGAAGAGTGTTTTTCATAAATTAAAGGGTTTCTTTTTTTTTATGTAAATGTGTTTTAATTTTGGCAGCTTCTTTTATAAATGTTTGTGATTTCTCTGTCCAGCTCATCGTGCCGCTCTGACGGCGGATCACGTGGATTCTGTCCGACAGAAGCGCCGCACGCTGATCGCTCCGGATATCAACCTGTCGCTGGATAAAAGCGAAGGTTCGCTGCTTTCTGACGACTTCCTGGAAACACCAGACGACCTGGACATAAACGTGGACGACATCGACACGCCAGACGACGACTCTCTCGGCTCCCTCAACAACGGCAACGAGCTGGAATGGGAAGGTCAGTCTGAGGTCAAAGGTCGTGTGGTTTTGGCTGGAAAACAGGAAACATTACAGAACAAATCTCATGTTGGTTTGCCAAAGCTAATCATGCTAACAACTTGCTAAATCATGTTAGCAACATGTTAAAACATGCTAGCAATGTGCTAAATCATGCTACAAACATGCTAGCAACATCCTAGCACTAAATCATGTTAACAACATGTTAAATCATTCAAACAAAATACTAAAACATGTTACATCATGATAGAAATGTGCTAGAAATGTCCTAAACCATGCTTGCAACATATTAAAACGTGCTAGTAATGTGCTAAATCGTCTTAGAAACATGCTACCACCATATTAAATAATGTTAACAGTGTGTTAAATCATGATAGCAGCATGTTAAAACATGTCAGCAATGTGTTAAATCGTGTTAACAACTTGTTAAAACATGCTAGCAATGTGCTAAATCATACTAGTAAAATACTAGAACTGTATTCAAATCATGTTAGCAATGTGCTAAATTAAGTTAACTGTGCTAACTCATGCTAGAAACATGTTAGCAATGTGCTAAATCATGCTAACAACCTGTTAAAACATGTTAGCAATGTGTTAAATCACACTAGAAACATACTAGCAACGTGCTAAATCATGCTAGAAACATGCTAGTACAATATAAAATCATGCTAAAACATATTAAAACATGTTAGAAATGTGCTAGAAATGTCCTAAATCATGCTAGCAACATGTTAAAACGTGCTAGTAATGTGCTAAATCGTCTTAGAAACATGCTACCACCATACTAAATAATGTTAACAGTGTGTTAAATCATGATAACAACATGCTAAAACATGTCAGCAATGCGTTAAATCATGATAACAACTTGTTAAAACATACTAGCAATGTGTTAAATCATACTAGTAAAATACTAGAACTGTATTAAAATCATGTTAGCAATGTGTTAAATTGTTAACTGTGCTAACTCATGCTATAAACATGTTAGCAATGTGCTAAATCATGCTAACAACCTGTTAAAACATGTTAATGTGTTAAATCCCACTAGAAACATGCTAGGAATGTGCTAAATCATACTAGAAACATGCTAGCAATGTGCTAAATCATGCTAGAAACATGTTAAAAAATGCTAGCAATGTGTTAAATCATACTAGTAAATTACTAGCACTGTATTAAATCATGTTAGCAATGTGCTAAATTATGGTAACTGTGTTAAATCATGCTAGAAACATGTTAGCAATGTGCTAAATCATATTAACAAGATTTTATAGACTTGTAAAATCTTCAAAATTAAAGCTTTTCAAAGTTCCAAACTTTCGGACAAGGCCATCAATCTTTACTCATCTAGTTTCACAACATACTCAGATTTGCCCAATTAAATGCAGATCGTATTGTTTTTTCAGACGACACTCCAGTGGCCAGTGCGAAGGGTCCAGGCGGCGACGGCGGCGACGGTGCGGGCCATCTGTGGAGGACGGTGATCATCGGCGATCAGGAGCACAGGATAGACATGCAGGTCATCAGGCCGTACCTGCGTGTCGTCACGCATGGAGGTCAGTCGATGATATTAATATTTGAAATGACAGATAGAACTTTTATTTATATATATATATATATATATATATATTAGTAACACTTTACAATAAGGATCCATTAGTTAATGTTAGTTTAAGGCACAAAAAACCACTAGAACAGTGTTATATATTTTGCTGACTTGTGTACTTGCATTATCCCAAATGTTTCGAAGAATGTTTAAATCCAGAGAAATAAGCAATTTTAACTAGTGACACGGAGCGTGTCTATAGTGTCATTGTGTCGCCTGCCAATGACGTCATAACCCCTTGATTTCCGGTTTTGTTTTGTAGAAAACATGGAAACACCAAAGACGCTTTAATATGTTGTGCGTTTTAATAGACCGGTGACGACCGCACAGAGTAGCATTATAACAGAACGTTCAAATGTATGTAGTATGATAAAACAGCTGCTTTACCCCACATACACACGACCGGAAGGAGCGGAAGCGCTCGACTGTGGCATAATAAAATCTCTGCTGCTTTTGAGCCGTGTGTCTCGCTCGTTCAGCGGCCTCGTTTCGCTTCGACGGCTTTCCACCTCACTCTGCTTCATACTACGACGTTAATAAATCATTAGGTCATCCATGAACATGATTTCTGCCTGAGTCCCGTCAGATTGCATCAGCTGTGGGGATGAAGACCACAACTCCCATGATTCCACACTCAGCCACAGCGTCATCAAACTACGCCTTTGTCTCTTTGTTTATTGTGAATACGTGCCCTCTAGCGGCAAAAATTACATATTGTGCCTTTAATGCATTAACTAACATGAACAAACAATGAACAATACATTTATTACAGTATTTATTAATCTTTGTTAATGTTAGTTAATGAAAATACAGTTGTTCATTGTTAGTTCACAGTGCATTAACTAATGTTAACAAGCACAACTTTTGATTTTAATAATGCATTAGTAAATGTTAAAAATTAACATCAACTATGATTAATAAATACTGTAGAAGTATTGTTCATGCTTAGTTCATGTTACTAATGGAACCTTGTTGTAAAGTGTTACCTTTTTATTTTATGTTTCAGTTAAAGTTTATTTTATTTCAAGTAATGTAATTTTTTTATTTTTTAGCTTTTGTTTTAACTAGGCCTATAATAACCCTGATTTGAACAAAACCCTTAACACTAAATTCAGCTTTGTGTAACTCGTCCCACTCTTTACATACAAAAACATTATATAATCACAACAAGTTCATTTATATCTTAAAGGTACAGTAGCAAAAACAGCTTGTTTAATTCTAAAGGATGGAAAACAGAAATTAAACTTAAATGACAAATGTTTCTTGTTTGTTGGCACATTGTAAGTGGACTTAAGGGAAAATACAGCACATTATGTTCCAAGGCCGTTTTACACAAACAGTGGGATCAGTGAAAATGGAAAGTGTTCAGCTTGATCTCATGTTACTGTTTCTGTTCACAGGTTATTACGGTGAAGGACTGAATGCCATCATCGTGTTTGCTGCCTGCTATCTGCCCGACAGCGGCTGCGCAGACTACAATTACATCATGGAGAACCTCTTTCTGTAAGACACAGACACACACTTTAGTCAAAGAGTAGACCAGTGTGCATTTGAAATCAGATAAACATAAGTGTTTGGGTTATAGAAAGACCTAAACAGACCTATGTGTGTACTAAACAGAGTTCAAATTGAATCAAGTTAGCAAACAGATGCAGAATCATAATTCAAATTTGAATGTAAGGAAGCAGAATCAAAATAGAATGTTAAAGAAATTCATATAACTGCTGTATATGCTGTACAGTTTTTATTATCTTGTTAAATTAATAATAATAATAATTATTATTATTTTTATTTTTTTAATATTATTATTATTTTATTACATTTCATTTGTCACTATGAATTACCCATAAATGTGTTTTCATACACACAACATACAGAATATTTCCAGAAACATAGAATTTTTGTATTTAATTTATTTAAACAGATATGTCTTCTACATCAGTGTTATTTTAGTATTGTTGATGTACTGTTATAGTTTTTATTAATATTTTGAATCAGTTTTTATTTTTAGATTTTTCATTTAAATTTTAGTAAGTTTTAGTCACTTTGTTTTGTGTTTTTGTCATTTTTAGTAGTTTTATTTATATATGTCTATATAGTTTTTATTAATTTTATTTCGGTTTTCGTTATTTTAGTGCATATTTTAGTGCATAAACTAAATTTAAATGAAAAAAGTTGCCTTGGCAACTAGTAAAAAAAAAAAAAGTGTTTTATATTTTATTTTACTTAAGTTATTGTTAATTTTATTTCAAGTAGTTTAATGATTTTAATTTCAGAAACTTTTTAATTTTAGTTAACTATAATAACTATGTTCTACATACATAACAAGCAAGTTTTTTTAAAGAAATTAATAATTTTATTCAGCAAGGATGCATTAAATTGATCAAAAGTGACAGTAAACACATTTATAATGTTATAAAATATTTCTATTTCAAATAAATTCTGTTCATTTGAACTTTGAAAAAATAAAATGTATCACAGCTTCCACAAAAATATGAAGCAGCACAACTGTTTTCAACATTGATAATAATCAGATATGTTTCTTGAGCAGCAAATCAGCATATTAGAATGATTTCTGAAGATCATGTGACACTGAAGACTGGAGTAATGATGCTGAAAATTCAGCTTTGATCACAGAAATAAATTACAGTTTACAATATATTCCAATAGAAAACAGTTATTTTAAATTGAAATAATATTTCACAATTTTACTGTTTTTGCTGTATTTTGGATCAAATAAATTGTAGAAGTATTGTTCATGCTTAGTTCATGTTACTAATGGAACCTTGTTGTAAAGTGTTACCTTTTTATTTTATGTTTCAGTTAAAGTTTATTTTATTTCAAGTAATGTAATTTTTTTATTTTTTAGCTTTTGTTTTAACTAGGCCTATAATAACCCTGATTTGAACAAAACCCTTAACACTAAATTCAGCTTTGTGTAACTCGTCCCACTCTTTACATACAAAAACATTATATAATCACAACAAGTTCATTTATATCTTAAAGGTACAGTAGCAAAAACAGCTTGTTTAATTCTAAAGGATGGAAAACAGAAATTAAACTTAAATGACAAATGTTTCTTGTTTGTTGGCACATTGTAAGTGGACTTAAGGGAAAATACAGCACATTATGTTCCAAGGCCGTTTTACACAAACAGTGGGATCAGTGAACATGGAAAGTGTTCAGCTTGATCTCATGTTACTGTTTCTGTTCACAGGTTATTACGGTGAAGGACTGAATGCCATCATCGTGTTTGCTGCCTGCTATCTGCCCGACAGCGGCTGCGCAGACTACAATTACATCATGGAGAACCTCTTTCTGTAAGACACAGACACACACTTTAGTCAAAGAGTAGACCAGTGTGCATTTGAAATCAGATAAACATAAGTGTTTGGGTTATAGAAAGACCTAAACAGACCTATGTGTGTACTAAACAGAGTTCAAATTGAATCAAGTTAGCAAACAGATGCAGAATCATAATTCAAATTTGAATGTAAGGAAGCAGAATCAAAATAGAATGTTAAAGAAATTCATATAACTGCTGTATATGCTGTACAGTTTTTATTATCTTGTTAAATTAATAATAATAATAATTATTATTATTTTTATTTTTTTAATATTATTATTATTTTATTACATTTCATTTGTCACTATGAATTACCCATAAATGTGTTTTCATACACACAACATACAGAATATTTCCAGAAACATAGAATTTTTGTATTTAATTTATTTAAACAGATATGTCTTCTACATCAGTGTTATTTTAGTATTGTTGATGTACTGTTATAGTTTTTATTAATATTTTGAATCAGTTTTTATTTTTAGATTTTTCATTTAAATTTTAGTAAGTTTTAGTCACTTTGTTTTGTGTTTTTGTCATTTTTAGTAGTTTTATTTATATATGTCTATATAGTTTTTATTAATTTTATTTCGGTTTTCGTTATTTTAGTGCATATTTTAGTGCATAAACTAAATTTAAATGAAAAAAGTTGCCTTGGCAACTAGTAAAAAAAAAAAAAGTGTTTTATATTTTATTTTACTTAAGTTATTGTTAATTTTATTTCAAGTAGTTTAATGATTTTAATTTCAGAAACTTTTTAATTTTAGTTAACTATAATAACTATGTTCTACATACATAACAAGCAAGTTTTTTTAAAGAAATTAATAATTTTATTCAGCAAGGATGCATTAAATTGATCAAAAGTGACAGTAAACACATTTATAATGTTATAAAATATTTCTATTTCAAATAAATTCTGTTCATTTGAACTTTGAAAAAATAAAATGTATCACAGCTTCCACAAAAATATGAAGCAGCACAACTGTTTTCAACATTGATAATAATCAGATATGTTTCTTGAGCAGCAAAATCAGCATATTAGAATGATTTTTTTTTATTTTTATTTTTTTTTCCATTAACGTCCAGGTTAAGAAAGAATCTCAAATGTCTGATCATCGCACATCCCTCCTGGTTCATCCGGACAGTTCTGGCCATCTCGCGGCCCTTTATCAGGTCAGAAAACACCAAACATCACATAAACACCCTCAACAGTTTGTAGAATGTGTTCTAATACATTTGAATTCCTCTGCAGTGTAAAATTCATGGATAAGATCCGTTATGTCCAGAGTCTGGAGGAACTGGCTCTGATCGTTCCCATGGAGCATGTGCAGATTCCCGAGTGCGTGCTGGAGTAAGTGATCTTCACCAGCAGGAGGAGACACATGGATGTCTTTTGATTTACACTCGCAGAGAGAATGTCATTTGTACATGCAAACTAAAACACACAAGGGCATGATAGAGTTTTGTTGAAGCTGTATGCAGAAATTAACATTTCACATTAACATGATCTCACTACGTTGCATATTTAACCCTGTAAAGCCTGACATATGAAATAATAGTCTGAAAAATCACTTTTTTTTTTTATTTACTTTAATCAATCAGACGACAGAAGACATGGAGTAGATTGCGTGCGACAGTTTTTTCAGCAAAGTTTTCATCATGTTGATCATTTAGAGGCTTTAGAAATGTGCATTTTAAATATGATATGGTAGGTTTTATAGGTTTAGTTTGCCAAGTGGTGCCCCGTTATCATGACATAAATAAAATGGCATTTAAATAAATTTTTTAGTGTCCTAACTTCAAATCATATTCAATATTGCAGTTGGAAATGAAAGGTGAATTTAAGTGCATTGCATTGTAAGATACATTGTAGGATATTTTAATAAATGTATGTCATCTGTGTATTCCAGGATTACAGAAAATGCACTTCTTGTACATAGCACACATACTGCATACTGTAAAAATAGTACGAGTATCTGGGCAGTTCCGAACACAGTCGTAGATTTCTCTGTGTTGAAGGCGTGAGGTTTTAGAAATGCGCAGTGTTTGTAATGTGTGACAGTGTGATAACAGTTTGCGCTCTCTTCTTTCTGCAGATGTGACGAGGAGCGACTCAAAGCGCAGAGAGAAAGGTAAAACCGCAGCAGGGGGTTGTGGGATGGTATGGCGTTACGTGATCTGAGTTCTCTGGCCTTTACATGATTCAGATGTTAAACAGGCCACAGCAGGACAGTTTCTCTTACAGTCCGGCCCATAATATACACACACACATACACACATACACACACATATATATATATATATATTAGGGCTGTCAGTCGATTAAAATTTTTAATCTAATTAATCACACATTAAATTTGGCTGTGAAAATACCCCCCAAAAATTATTTAAAGCCATTATTGTGTTAAGTGAGAAAAGTATCAATAGACATTACAAAAAGTAGCTTTAGAAAGAAATATTTTATTTGATTCAACATAAAATTTATTTCACATAAACTTTTATGCTACAACGGCCTAACATAAACTATGGAACATAAAAGACATCTCAGTATTTTTTGTTCATACAGTGAAAGTCATTGTTAACCAAAACAGCTTGGTTACCAACAGTCTTCAGATGACAGAATTTTCATTTTTGGGCAAATTATCCCTTTAATGTTTTTTTTTGTTTGTTTGTTTTTTTTTTTATAATATAATAAAACTGCCAGTAGGTGGTGGTAAATGTAATTGAGTCATTCATTCAAGCATTCGATTCATTCAAAGGCTGATTTATTCAGGAATGAAGTAAATGGCTTTCTTTATAGCTGGGTCTTTGAATCATTGGTTCACAAACGTGGATTCATTCAGAAAAAAAACACTGCTGTGTTGTTAAGAGACGCACAACTGTTCTGCTGTGGCTTTATAGGTAATATTTTCGTTGGCAAAATTGAGCAAAAACAGACAATATTGTGTTTAAAATAGTTTATTGAGTAAGATAAACTCATACGGGGGAATTTTTTGCCCCAATCTCTTAAATCGTAAGGGCATATATAACTGCATTTATGGACTACATCACGCAGTTGTTGCCCTGTATCATGTTTGTCAGATGTTTGTTGTGCACTAATATGTTACTTCGATTATGTCCTCACAGGCTTGAACAACTGGCCAAGACATCAGAGAGGTGAAACTCTTTACATCCATGCAGTGTTTGATGTATGTGACATGCAGCATCGCAGGAGTCTCTGTCTGGAATCACAGGCTGCATCTCAATTCGCATACTGCATACTAAAAATATATATTTCACTATGAAACAATACATACACTATTGAAATACTAAATAGTGCTTTTATTCATCAAGGATGCATTAAATTGACTAAAAACAGCAAAGACATTTATAATGTAACAAAATATTTCTATTTCTAATAAATGCTGTTCTTTTTAATTTTCTGTTCCTCAGAGAATCCTGAAAACATTACGTTATTATAATGTTACTTAATATAATATTATAATATTTTATTGTAAAATGTATTATCATTTTATCATTTATTTAATAATGAAAGCTGTTTTCAACATTGATAATAATCAGAAATGTTTCTTGAGCAGCAAATCAGCATATTAGAATGATTTCTGAAGATCATGTGACACTGAAGACTGGAGTAATCACAGGAATAAATTACATTTTACAATATATTACAATAGAAAACAGTTATTTTACATTTTAATAATATTTCACAGTATTACTGTTTTTACTGTATTTTTTGATCAAATAAACGCGGCCTAGGTGAGCAGAAGAGACTTCTTTTAAAAACATTAAAAAATCTTGATAACTCCAAACTTTTGAACGGTAGTGTACTTTTGAATGTAGTATTACTACATACTACAGACCGTCATTATCAAATACTGTATGCATATGCAATTTAGGTCCATTACCTTAAACTTCATTATTATTTCGAGTTTAGACTTAAGTATTGATGCGGCAGCTTCATGTTCCTTGCTATTTCTTACAACTGAAAATAAATGAACGCAAAACCATCTGAGACCCTCATTTTCAGTGCAAAGGAATTATGGGTAATATTACTTCAAAAAGTGTGGGTGGATGCACACAAGAAATCCCTTAGGAATAGTAAACCATCTGAGCACCTTTGACTTTTTCAACATGATTAATTCTTATCTCTCATACTATTTATGACAATTAGTATGCAAACTGGGATGCAGCCATAACATAATCTGACCGTGTGTATCAAACAGACTTGTATTTCAAAGGTTATTGCATTGACAGTGAAAGCTTAATGAGAAAACATGCATTTAGATTTTATTACAACACATATACATGATTCAGCTCAAGTCAACATGTAACCAAAATTGACACACTTTAACACTTTATTACACGTCATCGTTCTGCTTGCTATCAAATCATCAAAGAGTCCTATTTTTCATTGCCTTCACTCCAACCACTTGTCAAATAGAGTCATTTTTCATCATCTAACCCAGGGGGTTTCAATCTTTTAGATGCCATGGACCCCTAAATAAAACTTGCATAAAGTGAAAAACTAATGTTATAAAGAGAAAAATATTTAGAATTATTATTCAGAATTGCAAATATATTATTTAGAATTTTTATCCTGCAATTCTTTCTTTATAACTCGAAATTATGAGATGAAAAGTCACAATTACCTTTTTAAGAATTGTTTATTCCGTGCCAGAAATGGGCTTCCATAGTTACAGTGCTGTACTTATGTATTATTTGTTTATTTACTCATTTATTTATTTTTATATATTTATTTTAATCTCATTTTAGTTTATTTATTTTATTTTAAACTTTATTTAAAATAATTATTTATTTATTTGTATATAATTTTTATTTATTTATTTTAATCTTATTTTTATTGTTTATTCTTATTTTTATTTATTCTTCTCTATTATTATTCTAATTATTATTTTTTTTATTTTTTTTACCTTTTCTCTAAACTTTTACACAGACCCCCTACCACTAAAACTCCAGATCGAACTAATTCCACGTGGTTAAAATTACTTGGAAAACTGCATTTCTCATTGAATATCTTAGGAAATATGTCCAATTACGAAAGTTAAATGTGTTGCAAACACCATTTCCTGTTGATTTTAAATGCAAAGAAATCTGATGTGATTCTGATGTGCGTTCACACTATTTGTTTTGAATGTAATGTTGATTGGAGTGTTATTTTGCAGGCCGCCATCAGTGGCTGCGGAGGCCTGTCCCTGACGCGTCTCATTGGGTAAGAGAGTGAACGCCTGACTGTAACAGTAGATTTAGCAGTAGGGTGGGTTTAATGACCTCTGGACCATACACCATATTTGGGGTCTCTGAATGGCGAGAGGAGCGGCATCTCATCTGCTCTGTTGCATAAAACACATCTGCTGCTCTCGTCAGATCAGCAGCCGCAGCGACCCTGCCGCCCATCACTGCTATTTTTGACCAGACTACTGACCGGCACATGGCCGATATCCCATCACAAGCATATCGCCCTGCGTGTCTGTCTTTCTTCAGTGTTGGGGAGTAACTTAAAAGGCTAGTTCACCCAAAAATGAAAATTCAGTCTCAAACCTGCATTCTGTTATTTTATTTCGTTCTCATAGCTCCTTCTCGTAGCCATTTCCTTCTCAATGGCTGTCAAGGACAAAACCCCCATAAAGTTAGTCCATATGACTCGTAGGCTTTATTCCAAGTCATCTGAAGTCATATGATAGCTTTGTGCGAGGAACAGACTGAAATGTAAGTCATAAGACATGTGAAAACCAGTAACAGTGTCATTGATGTCCACCTTTGTGACATGCATTATACTGACCATTTGATTTGAGAGCTTAAGCAAAAAGGAAGCTTTTGTATGAATTCATAAGACCTGAAATATAAATACATTGCATATTTGACTTTGAAATATAAATGTTTAATATTTAAATGTTTATATATATATATATATATAATTTATTATATATTTAATAAGGTTAATTGATTATGTATTTAATGTTTTTAAATAAAATAAATATTTTGTTAATGTTCTTTGTAAATATATCATTTCGTATATATTAAATATTGAACATATATTAAATAATATAATAACCCTGAAAGGGTTATTGAAGTAAAAAAAAAAAAACTAAAACTTTTATTGAAAAAAAGTTAACTGAAATAAATAATATATAAAAATTATCATTTTCATTTAGTTTAACTTGATGCACTTAACTAAAACTGAAATAAAAAAAAAACAATAAAACCTATATAGACATATTTTAAAACAAAACTAATGCATACATACTTTTTTGATGACCTTGGATTATTTTTTGTAAGACTCACCCAAAACTTTTGATAAATGCAAAACACAATGATCCTAAAATCTAAAAGAAATTAAATGATAAATATAGTGATTGTGAATGATATTTTTCTCATTTACAGATACACTTCAAGACAGGGATTCATCTGTGCATGTCATTTTCCAAAGATGTTCAATTGTAAAGAACAATCATGTGGATGTACACAATCATCATCATCTCAAAACACAATAATGATGTTTGTGACGCTCTGTCTACAGTGAAGTTTTTCGATACTCACTGACCTTTGACCTGGATCACAACCGGATCGCAGTTCAGTAAGTGTGAACGAGAGAGAAAACAAATGCTTACGGACTCTCTTTTCGTACACTTGTTTTGTTTCTGAAGAGGAACATCTGTGCAAACTCAAACATCTTGTGTAACAGTCGTTTGTGTTGTACAGATGTAAAACTTGGGATGTTTAATACCAGAGGGATTTTAGCTTGACTTGGCAATTTTTACCATGTTCACTGGCCAACAGCTTCCACAATGGGAAACGCATTCAGCCTGTTACATAATGCAGCAGCTTACAGGTTTAAAGTCAACATGAAATCATGCTTGCCTTCATAATCATTCATTGGTCAACTTGCCATAAAAAACAACCAATCACCAAAAATTATTTAGTCATAGTTTTGGGCTGTTGCCGAAGGTAATTTATTCTTTTCTAAAATCGTGTAAGTGGTTAAAGGAAAAGTTCACCCAAAAATAAAGACAATTAGCCCATTCAAGATTAGGATGAGTTTGTTTCTTCATCAGATTTGGAGAAATGTGTCACTGCATCAGTGTCTCAGCAATGGATCCTCTGCAGTGAATGGGTGCCGTCAGAATGAGAGTCCAAACATCTGATAAAAACATCACAATAATACACAAGTAATCCACAGCACTCCAGTCCATCAGTTAACATCTGGAGAAGCCAAAAGCTGCGTGTTTGTAAGAAACAAATCCATCATTAAGACATTTTTAACTTTAAACTGTCATTCTGGCCAAAATACGACTGAAAAAGTGAAAAAGGTCCATCTCCTGTTGTCTCTCACATCAAAATCCAGCCACATGTTTGTTTAGAGCTGTTTTGGACTGTTGTAAACCGTGCTTGATCTGTGCAGATTTCTCTCCTGATTCAGACCAGACCACGTTTTCACTGGAGGAAGCGTTATTATGGATTATGGACTCGTATTTTAGCTAGTTTGATGTTAAAAATGTCTTAATGGTGGATTTGTTTCTCATAAACACGCAGCTTTTGTCTTCTCAAGACATTAACTGATGGACTGGAGTGGTGTGGATTACTTGTGGATTATTGTGATGTTTTTATCAGCTGTTTGGACTCTCATTCTGACGGCACCCATTCACTGCAGAGCATCCATTGGTGAGCAAGTGATGCAATGAGAAACAAACTCATCTACATCTTGGATGGCCTGAGTGAGAGGACATCTTAAGCAAATTTTCAGCTAATTTTTGGAGGGACTGTTCCTTTAATGCAGCAGTTCAGTGGTGGTTAATATTAATGTAAGTTTACAGCAATAATAACAAATAAGGATTTTAAAAAAGAAGCTTGACCTTCATGTTGATTTTTAAACTTATCTAAGTAAATTTACAGTATGCCACATGAACAGACAGAATGTGAAGGTTATGTACTCATAAAGTGAGCTGTACATATTGTGAAACACACGGCCAGCAGGTCATGTTCGCTGGAACTTTACAACTGTAATATATGTGCTTGATAAGTATCAGGGGCTGTGTTCCGAATGGAATACTAGCATACTGCATAGTATGCACTGCATACTTATTTTTTTTAAAGCGTGTTTGGAACAGTATGCAATGATAAACGCTTCTTACTGCTATATTGCTGTCACAAGACCTCATTGCACTGCATGTTTTATTCAGCTCATTTTAATGCAGTTTTATCTGAAAATGTCTTAACCTTTGCCAGTCTAATCAAATGAGTCAAGATGTTAACAATCATGGTTGATATGATTTACTTTTCATTCATCACACTAGAAATTAAAAGGTCAAGTTGAGTGTGTTTCATTGTGGAATACAGTATTCATAAAGAAAATTCCATGCACAATATGCATACTGTAGAAATAGCACTGTAGTATGATATTCCCAACACAGCCGAAGTGTTTGACACAGTGAGTCGTCTGAATTCACTGTAAGTAGACTCTTTCATGCAGCTCTGCAGTACAAACTCGTGTGCTTCCAACTCAAGCTTCCCATTACCATATCACAGGAGGCGGAGCTTATTTTCCCTCCCTTCATAATGCCTTATGGGTACAGAGAGAGGATTCAGTGAGTTCTTATAACAAACATCTCAATAACACTTTACAGTAAGGTTCTACTTGTTATCATTAGTGAAATGCATCAGTTAAAATTAACTAAAGCATTGTATTAAAGCACACTAAAGTTGTTCATTTCTATATGGAGGACCAAACTTGCAAAAATTAAATAAATATAATAATAGAAAAATAAAGGAATAAATGACTTGCTAAAACAAATATAATTTTTAAAAAAATGATATAATTCAATTTGTACTTCTTTTTTTTTTTTTCCACTTTATTATGTTCTTAATTTATTTGTAACTGTATTTTAATATTTATTTATTCCCACACGTAAGGTCCTCCATAGATTTCAATACATTATTCAAATTAAAAAATGTATCCGTTTACATTATTTAATGGACCTGAATTACATGAACTAACAAAAAACAGTGGTATTTAACACGTTAACAAATATGAATAAATACTGAAACAAATGAATTATTCTTTCTTAGTAAATGCATTAACTTTAATGAGGCCATACTGTAAAGTGTAGCCAGCGTCTCTAATATTCTTCAGCTCGACACAGCGGAGTGACTAATTTCACAATAACAGCAATAAACATGTTATTTTATTAATCAAATTCATTTAGTGTCATAGTTCCACTGGATTTTGCAGTGATGTATTAACCAATCAGCATGCAAGTGCTCATAATGTATTCTGAAGGGATAATTAAAGCCACATTATTGTATAATGTACATTATCAGACTGTATAACAGTGTACTGTGTGTAAATCATTTGTATCATAGGATGTGCAATAAGTGAATGAGTTGCTAACATTGATGATGTGATAATTAATAAAAGGTCAATTTAACTGTCAAACGGAGTATTTTACAGTCTCTGATTGCATGACTCCCAATAGCCAAGCATGAATTAATGTTTAAAGCTATACACTATGTATCCTTTTTGTTTCAAAATGTAAATAAAAATTAAATAATGAGCGAGTACATCATAAAACCAACAAAGGTAGCCTAGTCTTTACCCTAAATCACTATGGTAAGCCTATAATAATTATAGAGCTGCCACAAAAACGGAAGTTCAAAGACAAAATTCTAACGATGGCAGTGCGCTTTTTTCTCTGACGCATTTGATTCCGTTAAAGTATAATAGCAATACTATATATAGTAAAGTAACTTGAAGCCACAACAAATGAACCTCGAAGCGAATACTGTTTGCAAGCAAAAACAGAAAGCGACAGAACCCGTAATAAAACACGAATCAACCTTGCTGTGCATTAAATAGATTTGCAAAAAAATGTTTACTTTGGTAACAATGCCAATCACTAAAACAGTTACTACTTTAGTTTATTTGCATATAAATAGCTTAATAGTTATCATTTTCACCATTATATGATATGAATAGCAATTACAGTTATATAATGTCAGCACTGCCAAACTTTTGTAGCGTTATAAAACAACTGAACAAGTAAAAAAAAACAGTGTTGGGGAAAGTTACTTTTAAAAGTAATGCATTACAATATTATGTTACTCCCTAAAAAAGTACTTAGTTACTTCGTATGGAAAGTAATGCATTACGTTACTTTTGTGTTACTTTTTCTCATCTGGGCTGGGCTTGCTTGTTTGTTTTTAATATAAAAAAAGTTATATTTTTTGCAAATGTAAAAGTCAGTCAATAAATGGGAAAACAATGTAACTGGCATTACTTATTTGAAAAAGTACCTCAGATATTTTCTTGTAAATTAAAAAGTAATGCATTACTTTACTAGTTACTTGAAAAAAAGTTATCTGATTACGTAACTCGCGTTACTCCAAAACTGAAAACAACAGCAGCATATATAATGTACTTTCCAGATACCAGTCTTTTTTTTCGTTATTGGTTGAGTTTTGATGTCGTTAGTGACATTTGCGCTGATAAAGTGATGATCTGTAATCATGAGATAACAGCAGATTAATCCGCGCAGAATAGCGGAGCCGAAGCACAACTCACGTAATAACCAAAACAGTGTTCTTCCGTGAGTAACTTGTAGTTTCATTTTTATAGGCCTACCGCTAGAGGGCCAAAGGTTACAGTGTGTCTATAATTCAGTAATTGAAGTATCGGGCAGTGACACGTGTCCCTGTCCCAGCAGGCATATGTTGTGAGCTGTTCATGGGTCAGGAATGAGGTGAGTCATGAATGAGTCATTTACTCACACACTCTTGTGTTAATACATCTGATCTCAGAATGTCAGAAACAAAACATTAGAAACGAATGCAGCCTGAGCTCCATCACCTCTGTCTGTAATCTCAAAAGTCAAGTAAAGTCAAGCTGGCAAAACGGATAATTTTCAAAGCTATATGCCTTTGACATAGTAAAGCAAGGTTGGCCTTTTTATGTTTGGGCCATTTATGCTGACGTGTAGAAAGTACACAGTAAATAATAAAAGAATTGGTAGCCTATTAGGTCTATGTTTTTAGTCAAAGCATGTAACTAAAACAAGTAAACAAGTTTCCGTAACACTTCACAATAAGGTTCCAATTAGTTACTCCATTAAATAACATTAAGAGATAGGCCTACTAATTTTAATTTTAATTATGTATTAGTAAATGTTGAAATTAAAATTAACTAGTGAATTAGAAGTATTTTTCGTGAACAAACACATTTTTACAAATGGAACCTTATTGTAAAATGTTACCCAGGTTTCCATATTTACAAGCAATTAAACAAAAGTAAACATTTATTTCTTATCTTTTGGAATAGATGATTATATATAGGAATAATGTACGTAATTAAGAAGAAAACGTCATAGTACCCTGTTAAATATATATTTTGTTCTTTGAAGGTCTAATTAAATAAGCAGTAAAAAGCATGAATTTTGACTTGGAAATAATTCAAGCATTCCGTTTCACTAGTACTTGAGTAAAGTGCAAATTTACCAAAATAATTACTAAAGTATAATATTAATGATTACTGTTCAGTTGTATCAGTACACATAGTAAAATTGTACATGTTTGTTTACTGTCACAAAAGGAAACTTGTGACTCGTGTAATTTATTTTATCATAAATTCAAAGTTCAAAGCTTCAAAAATGTGTCTTACTTTTATATTTGTTTAGATTACTCAGAAATTATGACATAGGAGTGATAAAAACTTTGAAGTTCATTTTCTTAATGTCAGATGACTGATAATTTTGAATGACTGAATGATAAAGGATCATAATTTGAATACAGTATGTTAGAATATTAACACTGGCTGTTGCAATATTCATAAAAGGAAGTGAAATGTTAGTTATCATCACTCACAGTTGGACTCTGAACACAAATTGATTTTAAGATGCAGACAATGACACATTTAATGACATATTTCGTGAAATGATTTGGTTCCAAAACCAAACAACCTGTCTTATATATAATAAAATAAAAATAAGAATTATATAGTTATAGATATATATCTATGTACTAGGCTTACAAGGTTTTGGAACAGAGCTATTGCCATTGGGTCTTTTGCTATTAAATTGATAGTCTGGTATTTATGTGAGTTGCATCAGAAGCATTTGAACCGTGTCATACATAGACATCATGCCAAATATAGCTCTATGGCTGCGTCCACTGAGAGCTGGTTACGTATGGAACTTTTCACCTCAGTCCAGGAGAAAAGTTCCCTCACACTGTGCCAACAAGACGAGTCAAGTAATTGGAAACAATTTGATCAGGATGGTCAAGTATCATGAGAGGAAACATACTGAAATACCACATACCTGTCTTGTCTTTATTTAACATTTGGCTCTGAGATCTGCACTTCCATTAGGCGGAGAGCGAGACCATAATATAATGATGAACAACCATCCAAACTGAATGCATACTAACAAACATAAATCAATCATAGCTCTGTTCTTACAGTCAACTCTCTCTCTCTCTAAAACATCTGTGTTTGTACTTGATGATGTTGAAAATGAATAATCACATGTGGGATTCTGGCCAGACTGGAGTTCACAGAGTAACATGACCCTGAGCTGAAATGTGGGGCAGAAATGCTGTGGGAGGATGAACATAGAGACAAAGGTATTGAAGAAACAGGCATACTGTGTATTCAGGAACACATATTATACTGTACGTCATATCACAGCTAGAAATTTGAGGACAAATTCAAAAAATTACTTTATTTATTATTATTTTATTACTTTATTAATTGTTACGCTTTGGATAAAAGTGTCAGCTAAATGATTAAATGTAAATGTAAATTATTCTTTGAAATAATAATAATGGTGATGGGAACTCAGGTTACATATATCATAATAATAATAATTTTTAATAAAATTATTTATAAAAATATACAATTGTATTAATAATAAAATGATCAATCTTCAGTATTAAGATTGCAGTTGTAGTCTGTTTTTCATAGCATTGATTATGAAATTGAATAATCAATTGTATTAACAACCAATGTGCATTTGTTTCTGACACAAAATATTTTGTAAAAGTCAATATTCTAACAGTAATTCTAGTAATAATATATATATATATATATATATATACACTCTTAAAAATAAAGGTGCTTCAAAAGGTTCTTCAAGCGATGCCATTCTTGCATTTTCACACTGAGCTCTGCAGACAGGACAGGAGTTCAGAGCTGTGATGAAAATGCGATTGGGGATGGGAAGAATTACAGTGGTGGTTTGAGTGAATATTTAATCTCATCTTCTGAAAATTGAGGATGCTGAGATGTGGTCAATTTTAATAGACATAGTTAACTCTTAGAGGTTACTTCGATTTTTTGACAGCTTTTCATTATCACTAGGGATAGGTCAGGATGGTCGACTAGTCTCCCAACAACCAATTAGTGAAGTCGACCACTCTTAAAAATAAAGGTGCTTCACGATGCCATAGAAGAACCTTTTTGTCTAAATGGTTCCATCAAGAACCTTTAACATCTGAAGAACCTTTCCGTTTCACAAAAGGTTATTTGTGGCGAAAGAAGGTTCTTCAGATTACAAAAAGGTAAGAAAGAGATGGTTCTCTAAAGAACCTTTGACTGAATGGTTCTTTGTGGAACCAAAAATGGTTCTTCTATGACATCGCTTGAAGAACCTTTTGAAGCACCTTTATTTTTAAGAGTGTATATAAACAAATGTAGTATGAATTTATTTCTGGACACAAAAAAATTTAAACATTCAAGAAATATTAATGGAAAGTTTTCGTAAATATTTTGACAATTGTTTATATTCCACTACTGTAAATTGGCACAGTAATACAGTAGCAGTATATTTAATCGTTGAAATGTAATTGTTATTAATCATTATTATCGTTATTAGAATATAGCGGTGTGTGTGTGTGTGTGTGTGTGTGTGTGTGTGTGTGTACCTGGTATTTATCGCGTTATGGGGACCAAATGTACACACAAGGATAGTAATACTAGTAAATTTTGACCTTGTGGGGACATTTTTGAGGTCCCCATGAGGAAACAAGCTTATAAATCATACAGAATGAGTTTTTTTGAGAAAGTAAAAATGCACAAAGTTTCCTGTGAGGGGTAGGTTTAGGTGTAGGGTTGGTGTAGGGCAATAGCACATACAGTTTGTACAGTATAAAAACCATTACGCCTATGGAATGTCCCCATAAAACATGGAAACACAACATGTGTGTGTGTGTGTGTGCGTGCGTGCGTGCGTGTGTGTGTTAAATATATATATAAATAAGCAAAACCTCCAGAGCAAATTTATGCATGAATTTTGATTTATGAATTTTAAGTGTTTATTCCTTTACCTGCGTTTATTCACGTCCTTCATTTCGGTAGTGTTTGTAATGCGTGTTAAACACAAACTATGTGCTAGCTGGCATGATTTGGTGGTATATTTCCACTCTTTAATTGCCCCTCAGAGCAGCGCCGTCGCCTCGATCTGCCCCCACCGCGCGCGCGAGCCGCTGACAGACGCGGAGCGACAGGTGCGACGGTGGAGCAGGTGCCAATATGCAAATGAGCAGGACGGCTCAAACGCTGATTGGTTCCACGAGAGCGGCCTTATTGGCAAGCGACTCACGTCTACGTCACGCAAAGCCGGGCCGCCTATATAACGAAGGCGAAAGACTAGTCCATCAATGAAGTAGTAAAGAGAGGGAGAGAGGAGAGAGAGACCGAAAGCATTCCCGACTGTAATTAAAGGAAGCGATTCCTTTGCTAGCGTCCTACCGCGAAGACCAAGATCAGAAAGGATCAGAATGAAGTTTATTATTGGAATAGGAGGGTGAGTAATCCACAAGATCCACATATTGAGCTTCTATTGTACGAATTCAGCGTTTAATAAACGTGTACTCCGTCTTTTACAGTGTGACCAATGGAGGCAAGACGACTTTGACGGGAAGACTCATAAAGAACTTACCAAACTGTTGTGTTGTACATCAAGATGATTTTTTCAAGGTATGGAGAGATTCCACAATTTTAACTTAAACTTGTCAGCTTAAAGTATTTACTTCTTCATTTATATAGAGATATACTGTGGCCCCTTTAAGAAGTATTTAGACATTTAAGCCAAACTTAAGAATGTATGAATGTTGTTGCATTATAGATAACAAAACCATCTAATGCAATCCATTTAATGCATTTTAAGTTCAATTAAAGTGTCTTAAATACTTAATGTTATTAATGCCACAGCATTTCCAAGGAACAGAAAAGGTAAAGACGTTTAGGACTTAGTCATGTTGTATTTATGGATCCATTGTCCATATTGTGGTTCATGAACCCTATGCTGGTGTTCTCCTGGACAGCCAACCTCAAACACCCAACAAATGAGTCTAGCAGGCATTAATTCGCAGCATTAAAACTCCTAATTCCCCTAATATGATTCTCTTGCTCATGCATTTATCATTCTGTGGCATGTGAGAGGATCTGGCAACCTTCACACCACCATTCGCTCTCCGAGCGCCCATATCGATATATTTAATAACACCTCTTAAGTGCATCACACACACATTCCTAACTGTCATTGGAGGCTCTTCTCTCAAGAGCATGCTGATAGAGATAATTGCATTGCATTGCAACCAAATTAAAAGTTGAAATTGGAGATGATTTTAGAGGACTAGCCTGAGGGCTTGGCGTCACATGTCCAGGTGGGACCAGCACTGCCTGAGCGATCCACACCTTTTTGTTTTATTGGTCACTGTTATTGCAGCCCCAAGATCAAATAGAGCTCGGGGAGGACGGCTTTAAACAATGGGATGGTAAGAATGGCTTTCGCTGTGGGAAGAGAAACAGTAACGTATTCCCACCTTTCCATAAACATTCTGCATTATTGTAACATAATCCTAAAACCCAGCAAAACTATTTTTCTTGCATTGCACGTCAAAAGTCTGGACACACTTAATGACTGAAATGTGCTTTGTAGGTGAATAGAAACGGTCTGTGAATGAATCTGGAGCAGATAGTGAAGGAAAACCATCATTATACGTGTTCCTCCTTCGTTAGTGTTTCAAAGCATCCCAAGATGAACATCTAGAGTGAGAGCAGCTGCTAGACAAAGAAGATGTTCTTCCATTTAAAAACCATTTTATTATTCTAAAATAGCTGTAATAAAAAAATAAGTGTGTCCAAACTTTAGACTGGTAGTGTAAATTTGACTCACAGTCCTATTATATTAATTATTAACAACCCTAAAAAGGAGAAAGGACAATTAGAAGAGATAAAGTCTTTAATGCATTGTTTTATTTTTCATTATCCAAGCATGTGAGACACGTCTTGTCTTTTTTGTCTTCTTGTGTAGTGATTACCGCCTTGGACATGGACGCCATGGTGAACACGGTTAAGGGATGGATGGAGAACCCGGTGAAGTTTGCGCGCTCCCACGGCGTGACCGTTTCACCCGCATCTGACGGCTCGGACCCGGAGCGCGAGATCCACATACTCATTATAGAGGGATTTCTTCTTTATAACTACAAGTAGGCGTCTTCCAAGTCTTGTTGGTTTTATTCAGCTTAAAGATGTGACGGGTTGATGTTTTCCTCTTGTTTCCGCCTCCAGGCCTTTGCTTGACGTCTACAGCAAGTGCTACTATGTCACCATTCCATACGGGGAGTGCAAAAGGAGAAGAAGGTGAGAACTGCTTTTGAAGATCAGATGTTTATAGATGATTCAGTTGCTGGTTTTCGAACAAATCCGTCTCCTTTATTTCAGTATGAGAACTTACACCGTTCCTGACCCTCCTGGTCTGTTTGACGGCCACGTGTGGCCCATGTACTTGAAACACAGGCTAGAGATGGAAAACAGCGGCCAAGATATCCGTAAGTCAACCAATCTAGCGTTAAAATGGCATTCTGTAATCTGTAACTCGCATGCACGATTCGTATCTGCAGAATATCTGGATGGAATGAGAACAAAAGATGAGCTCTATAACCAAGTTTATGAAGACATTCAGAACTCCCTATTGAATGTTTTATAGGTAAGATCCTCCGTCCTTTAATATATATATATGACTTTGCATCATTGTAAAGATGTTTTTCTTATCTATTTTTCCTTATTCTCTTTGCAGCATCTCCGGTTGGAATGAAGATGTGTGTGTATAGAATTGTAAATAGCTTCTGCCACTAGACGGATTTTGTAAATAAATACTAACTTATTTTAAAACTGATGGCAAAAGCCTGTAATTTTATATTGCTCTATGTAACTTTGTTTTATTTAAAACAAGCATTACTGTCTGGGATGCCCAGAGACGAACAGTATATGGCAATTATGACTTTGTTTTCATTTCACTGTAACCGAAGCTCTGCCATCTTCAGTCAGAACAGACATCGGTGTTGTGTTTTCATTCTCAACATTGGGACATGCATGGAAAACATTGAACTTTTTATGATTGTAATGTCTGGATTATGATGGATGAATGTAACGGGAAAAAACAAAATATATAATCAAATTATTTAATAAAAATGTTGAAATAAAATACAGTAAATATGCATTTCATGCTATGTTATTATTTATTTAATTTCCCAGTATATAAAATTTTATTTCATATTTTGTGTCATTTTCATTCTCCATAAAATTATCATTACACCATTTATGCTTATATGTTGTTTATTTGTTTATTTATTGAAGGTTATTTAATTTAGTCCATAGTAAATTCCAGGGCATTTTGTGTAATTTCTCAGTTTAGTTTGTTTATTTATGTTCACATGTCACTGTATATTTACTGATCGCAACATTTGATTGTTTATTTAATTATTTCCTGATATATTTATATTTGGCTCCATTATATCCCTTCACTTACTCTATCAAAAACTCCTCTGGCAAAATACTTGTTACAGCAATGTTGGTTCTGGTTTTACATTTATTCAAGCATTTATCCAAAGTTATTGCCGTATAGCAGGAAAACAAACACATATACGGCACTCAGACACAAGGTCAGTGTGTTGGTATTTATAGCTTGTATAAAAAGTCAATAGGCTACTAAACTTTATTGAAGTACATTCAGTGCACACACACAATCAGAACCTTCCCTTCCTTATTTTATCCTCTGAACATCAAGTACTTCAGACTGGATCATGATGCATTTGTGTCTATGGTACAGTGAATTCTTTTTTCGTGCCATAATATTAAGTAATATCAATAAACAGAAAGCACTTTAATAATGTTTGATGCATGAGGAATGTAAACGGGCGTCATTTGTGATCGTGTTGTGTAACAGTAGGCCTCTACTGGCGTCCGTTAATACAGACTGGAATCTAATACCAGGTGTGAATGACAAACATGATCACTGTGAGAGCTTATATGGCTCCAAGGTTATCTCAGTTTGGTCTCATTTTAGTATCAACAATTGCGGCCTTTGCTGATTTCTAGTCCTGCTTTGTGTCTTTACATGTGTTATAGACAACAAATTAAGTTTTTCTTCAAATGTGAATGTATTTCTTATATGCTTTTAAAAATTTATATTTTTAAAATATATTTTAAAAAATATACAAAAAATGTCCAAAAAAATAATACTGTTAGAAAATGTATTTACATAAATACTTCTTGAAACATGTTTTATTTAGGTTTTTTTTTTTTGGTGAAATATTTTTGATGGGATATTGTTGTAAGCAAAAACTTTGATACTTTTATTTATTTATTTATTTTTGGAAAACAAGTCTCAATATCTTACGACTTTTTGCTTAAGTTATTGTATCTTGATTTAAGAATGTTTAAATATTTGTACTGGAAAACAAGACAAAACTACTGTGTTAGTTACAAATTTGTACATTTGTAGAAATGGACCGAAGTGAGTCAATAGTTGTCATGCAGTGAGAGTATTAAACTAGATGGAGAATTTGATGAGAAATTAGTTTAGATTTAGATCTCTGACTTGAATGCAAATGTGTTGTCTGAGCACATGTTTGAGATCTCTTCTGAAGCAAGAGTCCCTGTTTGCTCTCCATTTGATCTCGTTGCAGTCCTGCAGGTTGTCATACAGATTGTAAAGCATGTCTATGACTGTATTGGATCGGAGGGTATCTGATGATGCATTGTCAGGGGGTCTGGAGCGCGGTTATGTGTGTGAGTCGTTATATTTAGGCGACATGCCTTCAGTGTCAGAAGGGAAGGGCCGCTGTGAGATTTTGTAGAAATGGACCGAAGTGAGTCAATAGTTGTCATGCAGTGAGAGTATTAAACTAGATGGAGAATTTGATGAGAAATTAGTTTATATTTAGATCTCTGACTTGAATGCAAATGTGTTGTCTGAGCACATCTCTTCTGAAGCAAGAGTCCCTGTTTGCTCTCCATTTGATCTCGTTGCAGTCCTGCAGGTTGTCATACAGATTGTAAAGCATGTCTATGACTGTATTGGATCGGAGGGTATCTGATGATGCATTGTCAGGGGGTCTGGAGCGCGGTTATGTGTGTGAGTCGTTATATTTAGGCGACATGCCTTCAGTGTCAGAAGGGAAGGGCCGCTGTGAGATGTAAATAGATGTGCACGCTCTGATCTCTAACCGGTTCGACCCCGTGGCACACTGTCACACCATCAGTGCCTGGACCACGAGGTCTGGCTGGAGGAAAGGTGAGAATGTCTCCAACGTCATGGTTTGTCACGAAGACCTCAAAAAAGTAGCAGAGCTGCGGCTCAGCTTTTCCTATTTTAGTTGAAATGCAAGTTGATATTCATATGCTTTTCACTCGCAGTTTTAGACATCTAGACTCAAGTGTCACTGAATCATTAACTGCTCTGTGTGAGCCTGCAGGAAGTGATATGTGTGTGTGAGGGACTTTTTCCGGGCATATTTGTGTTCGGTCAGAGGATTATTAATAGAACCTGACACTTTAGAAACAACGAAATTTCAAGTATATTATTATTATTATTATTCGTGCCCAGAGTTTATATAAAGATTCAGTAGAGATCTGATATATTATTATTAATTTTTTAGATATACTAGGGACCAAAAGAGACACTGATATCTTTTTAATTATCTGTACAAATGTCTAAACTTTAATCTAAACCTTTATGTAACATTACTGGAGTTATGTAATGTGTGTGTGTGTGTGTGTGTTACATATATATGTGTATATATTATATATGAAATGTAAACATTCACTAAAGTAATATATATATATATATATATATATAT